GGAATCGTAATACAGAATGGGATCCTCCTGAACTCATCCCATCTAGGCACTCACYCAAGTTTTAAATGTTCTGCAAGTTCAGACACAAGAGAAACATTTCTGCCCTTTCTGCTTTGCCCCGCTATGACAGAAGAACAGCAGACAGCCGACTGGGAAGTAAGTCAAGCAGGCCCCACCAAATGAGGTTTTCGAGCATAATGACCAGTCTTACTGAGTTGTTTCTGTCTCCTGGACCACGCAGAGTCCTGACACCAGTAATGCCCTTTTGCTTCTGGAGATAGAGGCATCTCTGATTCCTGACAAGCCAGGGTGACAGCTGTTAGCAGTGCTGTAGAGCATGCTGGCCATTTGCCAGCTTTTTGAGGTTGGCATGTCAATTACACCTGAGTATAGAGAGGATTTGAAGCAAATCTAACCACTTACAGTTATAACTTTCTATTCGGGTGGAGAAAGTATACAGAATTTCACAAAGCGTGGGTTAAAACAAAAACACACTTTCAGAGCAGCAGGAAAAAAAACTACACAACTTTCTAAAGAACCAAAGAGTCCTTTGCAAAACCTCACTCCCATCTTAGAATGCTAGCAAAGGGTTCAGCTTCATGGTAGAAATGGATCTGTTGCTGAACAGGTCTAAACCATTCAGCAAAGTGATCTTGAAGTTCCCTGTGCCATTTGGCAGAACTATTGCTGTCACCTTGGTATTGCCTGAGACTTTGAAAGAAAAATGAGACATTACTATGCAGAAGTGATTTTTTAAAAAGTCACAGTGGCTTTTTTGTCATCTTGCAAGCAAGAAAAAAAAAAAACAAACTCATCCTTTGGTCCTGAGATTTGAAAATGCAATATAAAGGGCAACTTCAGTGCTTMCAAAAAGCTGGAAGCCAGTAAAAATGCTGGCAATCTTCAGGTACTTTGTTTTTCCATCATTATAAAACATCACATTCTACCAAAAATCTGTGAAGCTCCCGGCAATCATTGAGTGTGCTACTAGCCTACAAAAAGCATAAGACTGCCACAATCAGCTTTCTGCTATCTGACAAACTTCACTGTCTGAGCAACCATTGAGAATTTACTGTTTCTCACATCCATCACCTAAAGTAACTGTTTGTGGTACCCCGGATGAGTTCTTTCTGCATCCACACAGCTCAGGGGAGAACCTTCCAGGAAGTGGTCTGAACCCCAGCAGGCTTCCCAAGTCATGCTTACTACAGCCACCCCGAACCATATCACAGAATCAYCAAATCACAGAACCATCAAGGCTGGAGGATACCCTCAAGATCATCTGTTCCAACCATCAAACTAGCACCACCATTATCACACTTAAACCACACTCCCAAATGCAACATACAGACACGTCTTAATACATCCAGGGACACTCACTCCATCACCTCTCTGGGCAACCTATTTTAATACTTAACTGCCCTTTCAGTGAATTTTTTTCCTAATATCTAATCTGAACCTCTCCTGACACAACTTAAGGCCATTTCCTTTCATYCTTTCACTTGAGACATAGTAGAGGAGATCAACCTCCACCTCACTGCAGCCTTCTTTCTGGTAGTTGTAGAGAACAATGAGGTCCACTCGAATCTCCTTTTCTCCAGACAAAACCCCCCAGTTCTCTCAACCGCTCCTCACAAGACACATTTTCTAAACCCTTCACCAGCTTCATYGTCCTTCTTTGGAAAGAAGCAGAGCAGGTGAGCACACACATAGTCACACAGTTACTGAAACCACACCATGGTGAGAAAAAACAAGTGGACCAGTGGTTCAAAGTGCAAGCTCAGGCACAGACACAAATTTAGGGGACACTTCCCTTATGAAACCATGGGAAAGGTAGCAGTTACCTTGACAGCAGCAATCAGAACTCAGGTTTCTAGCAAGCTTTTAAAATTATAAGTCCTCCTTCACTAGCACTGAGATGAAGGCAGATTTAGAAGCTGTTTATCACACTTCAGGTTCTGTTATCACTCCATAAAGAAAATAAATGTTTTGGCTATGAATACAGTCAATTATTTGGCTTCTACTATGCATACACAGGGGAACTTTCTAGTAACTTCTTGCACAGTCATCAAATACCAGGAATTTATTCATTTCCCCCAAACTAGGCTCAGGCTTGAATTCTCAATTCATAGACTTTGAACTTGATTCAGGGTAACATTGTTTTATCTGAAGTTCACAGCCCCTTAAGGCCATAGAGGGCCAGCCAGAACATCTCATCTAACCTCATGGTGCCCCCAGGCCACAGACTTCATCAGTTCAAGAGCTACACTTGCATTCAGCAAATCTCTGCCAGCAGTACCAGGAAGATCTCCAAGATTTGGGTGGGGGGTTTTTTTGGTTGGTTTTTTTTTTTTTTTTTTTTGTGTTTTTTTTTTTGGTTTTTTTTTTTTTGGTAAAGAGAAGGTAAGATATTTATTAGGGGTAGTTTTTTTTTTGTTTGGTTGTTTTTCTTTCCTAGTGCAGCTTTGATAGAACAAGTCACATAAAGACAGAACTATAGTAAAATCTTCATCCTTCCAGTCCTTGCACCCTATCTGGGTGAGGACAAGCCAGACTATTTCCAGTTGTTCTCCTGGGTGTCAATATAGGGCTTGGGATCAGACTTCTCAAGCCAGTGATTCTGCCATTTCTGGAGTGCTTCCCTGCCTCGTGCCCCCACTCTGCCTCAAACCCCTGCTGTTTCCACCCCATCCTTCCCCACTGGTGAACCCACAAGGAAAAATGATACCTGAAAAACCATTTCTGAAGGTCAGTTATCCAGTCCTAATAAAAAAGGCTGAAATTTCCATGCAATTTCAACCAAGAGGTTGTGTTGTAAAAACTGAGCTCATTCCTAAAAAGAAACAAAGGGGAAATCTGTCTACAAGGAACAATTCATAGAACACATCTCCATCAGGTTTGGCCCTTCTGACCCTCCACAGACCTTGGCTTTGGCACCCATTTACATAGTGTGATCCCAGGAAACCTACAGGGGAGAATGGAGAGAAAGGTGAGATGATCTTTGGTTCATATGAAGGCATAAAAGAGAAATTACATAAGGATTTATGACATCCTTCTTTTTTTTTTTCTTTCACCATCTTCAGAGATTCAAACAGTCAACCTAGTATGAATGCTCACGGTCAAATTCCTGTGGGCAATGTTCTTGCTGAGTCAAGCTGGCGGAAAAACAGAAATTCTGCTTTGTGGGAAATTCCAGGACCTCTGTTTTCTCTCTAAATTAATCAGAAAAGTCAGAAATCAACTTTTTCTGCAAAATGACATTTCCAAGTGTTTTTCTTGAATATTTGGAAGAAAAGATAGGCCAGTCTGAGTTTTACAAGCCACAGTTCTGTGAGATGTGTGCCAAGTATAAAACCTTTTGGACATTTCTGTCTGCAATTCCAAAAGCCACATCACATTATAGTAAACAAGTGCAGCCACAGAGTTAGTGCTCCTCACAGCATCAGATTGCCGTGCAGAAAACACAGTGTCAGTGCAGGCAGTGTCTGCAACCTTCCCCCAGCAGACATACCAGGCTGGGAGAAGATCCTTTTCCTTGTAGAGCCATTTGTTGGGCTCTCTTCTGATATCTGTGCGAGGTGAAAGTATGTTTACATTGTGAGTACTTTCTCCTTCCACTGTTATTACCTCTCCCACACACTGTGTGTGTTCCACTGACGTGCAAAGGAAGCTACAGCTGATAAAGGAAAGGGACAGGCTCTTAAGATCTCCCCAGGGCCTTGAAACAAAGGCTATTATGAGGAGCTGTCTGTGCTCCTTCCAGTGCAGAGTGCAGGCACACCCACGTGGCAGCTCCTGATATCTGTATTGTGTGATCCTGTGCAGCATGAGTGAGGCTTCCAGCAGGTGCTCTCATATATCACACACTCAACAGAGTCCATGAGGCTGAGTGAGGAGGCTTTCAACCCTACATGCTTTCTCTGCCTCAAGAAAAGGCAGTAGTGGGCAGCAGCAGATGGCTTCATGAGGTGTGCTCAAAGCATGGGCCCTTCCAGCACGGTAGGACAGAGGACCACAGCCTCTAAAGCCCAGGCTGGAGTTGGGGTGGGAAGAGGGAATTGAATAGATGAAGATGTGATAATGCTTTTGTATGCCAAAGTTGCATAGGATTTCTCTAAATCAAGCCAGAATCAAGCAGAGATTCCACAAAGAAAGGCAGTCCCAGGACAAGGTCTCTCAAAGTGCTCAGACAGCAGGGACAAAAGAACGTTTAACAGAAGTATGATAAAAGAATTGTTCTGTTAAATCCAACCAKCACCTCCTGCTCTGTTGCATATTTGTAACAGCGGCATACTGGGGAGACTGCAAATGCAGGCCTTAAGAGTTACACTATGAGGTGCGGGAGAACTTTAGTTAGTTTAGGCAGTGAATTTACCAAGGACTGACTGGAGCACAAAGGAAGTAGTGCGTGTGGGCTCTTCACAGGCAGGCAGAAACAAAAAGCATAACGAATCATTGCAAACTCCTAATGGGAATTAGTAGACAGAAGGGCTGCAAGACATATGCATGGAGCACATGAAAAACAAGAAGAGGAGCCTAGGAAACCAAGTAATTGGATTACTTCTTCTTGAGCAGGAGTATGAAGTTCCTTCCTYGTGAAGGTGCTGTAACATTCATAAAACTTATGCAGCAGGAGAGCAGCCTGGGGCCTCTTCAGTGCGCCATAAGAGGAAATAATACAACAACAAAAGGGATTTCTAATTGTAGATACTGCTGTCAAGGTGCTGTAGTGATACAAATACAAACCCTCATTCTACTATGTGTTTCTCTCAGGAACCATCCCCTCCGCTGCCTCCAGATGTGGCTAGGTAAGCTGTGCTCTCATAAACTGCTCTTTACAGGACCGGGGCCAGAGTTTTACCAGCAAATTCAGTTTTGGGGAGTGGCTTTTAATGAGGCTTAAAAGGAAGAGAAGAGGTGTGAAACTTCCAAAAAGCTTCATCATTCTCACTAATTTCCCCAGACAGCAGAATCAAAGGCCAAGTGACTTGATCACATACCTCCTACTTCTTTCTTCACAGATCAGGAAACAGCAACAGCAGCATGCCACAGCGGTAAGAGTGACCTGTGGTTGAAAAGTTACAAGGAGCAGTGAATTCCCAGGAAGCTTTCACAGAGCCACTGCTAAGAGGGTTTTAGGGATGATATCCTACCAAGACTAAGGGAGTGTAAAGAGAATAAAAGGAGGAAGAATATACTATGGTGACAGTCATGTGGTGCAAAGGGTTTAATACCAGCCTAATCTGGCATTTTAGCTCCCTTYGAATACACCTGGAGTAGTTTGGATCTAAGTGAGATGTCAATGGACTCCAGCCTGGTGTTATTTTCTTTGCATAGGAGAGAATTCCCACAAACAAAAAATAGATTGTTATAAAAAATTCCTAGCTCCTCTACCAAACCCTAAATGGGAGGAGAAATGAAAAATAGGAGGACTGGCAGCATACTGTGAGATTTTCCCCAGTTCTTCTACTGCAAGAGCCAACCTTTAGGATGAGCGGGGTTTGTGCCAGCAAGCATCCATTCACATGATGGAGTTAACTCATGTAGTTTACTGTCCAGCTTCCCTCTCCATTAGCTGACTTTGCAAAAGAGCATCTGTGCCTCACTGGCTCCTCTCCATACTTTTGGGGGCTTATTCCATAGCCTCACGTGCCATGCAGGAAATGGCACGACTCTACAAATCCTTTCCCAGAGGACTGGGAGGAGAGATGTCTGTCTGACCCAGGGAAGGGAAGAGAGCCCCTGAAGGACTTGGCAGCATGGGGGAGGGGGTAGCTGCACCCGCATTGCAGAGCAGTTATGTCAGCAGCCTAGGGGTTGCACTCTAGCCTATCTCCTTGGCCAGCCAGCCAGCTCGAGTCAAAAAGCATCTTCGATTTATAGGGACGTGGGTGTGGATAAGACACAAGTTACCAGCAACACCGGAGTTATAATCTTATTAACTTCGCAGTGAACACCCACGCTAAGCAGTGAGGCCAGGGAGGCAGGATGAATCCAAAAGAGGAATAGGGCAGTCAGGCTTGTAGTACTGGTCCAGTTGTAGCCTTCCCACTCTTTGCCTTCACCCCAAAAACCCAGTGATCTCATTGCCAACTGCACAAAGGGAGGGCAGGACATGGTTTTCCTGCCAGTCTCCAGGACACAGGATCTCAGCAGCAGGACCCCTTCCCCCCTGCCCGTATTGCAGCCACTCATCCCTCCTCCACCTCCACCCTGATACCCCGCAGCTGGGCCCAGAGCACACAGCCAGAAATGGAAGTTGTCAGCGCAATCACTGTTGGTTTCACAACCTCCTATTACTGCAGCTTTACAGTTTATTTGCTCTGTGTGCCAACAAACATGGACACATGCTCTATTCCTGTGGATATCCGTGCATCTGTGTGTCATGCAACTCACCTCCTAAAGTAGAAGGGAATGTCAGGCCTCTGAAAAGGTGATATCCTTGGTTTGGCAGCAGCACATTTTGTGGTCACTCTGTGTATCAGATGGGCATGGGAAATTCCTGCCGGACTCTGGCAAAGAGTTTCTCTCTTGGCTAATTTTTAATGGCAAAGGTTTTGTAATCACCATCCGAGCCTGAGGAGCAGAAATTCCTGAGGGGTAATTGGCTTTGTCGGTCTGCTGGGCGCACTCAGCCTTGATCTCTTCAATTACTGTATGCATGTACGTACTCTCACGCTGACACACCAGTGAGGACAAGGCTGCCGGCTCCATGGATGGGTGCGTGTCTTCAAGCAGGGCAACCGCCCTGGCAGCTAATGCAGTGCACAAGGCATGGGGCAAGGCTAGTAAGAACCAATTCTAATCTCAGCTTGCTGGGAGACACTTCAGGAAAAAGATCACTGGGGGGACAGGACCTGTGGGGACAAGAGGACAAATGAAGTGGGCCTCCAGTTGCTCCTCCTCYACCATCTGACTCACAGGTTGCTGACCACAAGCTTCTTCACCTGCCACCCCATGAGGCACCTCATTCTCATTAGCAGCAAGGAAAACACTCACAATGGAGGCTCAGCTTCAACTGGCAAAAAACTCTGCACATGCCAGGGTGGCTTATTTTGAATTTTCTGCCAGCAGAGCAGCACGTTATCTTAAGACTTTTGCCAGCATTACAATATTGATGGGAGGGACGGGATTACTTTTCCTTCCCTTAATTAATGGAGTTAAGCAGGCAAAAAGTTTTTGGGAATGGATAAGGCTGATGACCTCTTAATGCTGCCTCATCAGCACACAGCATTTAAAGGATGTGTATGACACTGGAGCATGTTTTGAGGCCGCTGTGGGCCCAAGAGGGTTACACACAGGCACAACTCTGCAGGCCTAACATCAGTTATATCAGATTACACACCGGGGTCCTAGGTACAACAAAGGAGTCAGGGTATGCATGCACAATCCTCCTCATGCATCCTGTGTCTTCAGCGTGGTCTGAACACCACATTTTTCCGCATCATCTCCTGTCCATCTCTGTCCCCTCAGTCCCATGTACTGCTCTCATCCTGCGCCATCCTCCTCACCTCCTCCCAACAGYAAACTCTCTGCTACTGCCTTTCCTCCTTTGGCCCTCAGGTCTGTCACCCATTCCCAGATCACCCCAGGAGCTGCTGCCCCTACAGCAGTGGCGGGTGAGTYGTTTTCCAGCTCCAGTGTCCTGGAGTTCACCACAGGCAACTTTCACTCCCTCATCTCCTTTAACTGCGGTCAGCACCCCCCGGGCTGGAGGAACTCGTAAATACCACGGTCTTGTGAGGGAGTCTTCCATCCAGTAATTGACTACACTTTCCAGATGCACTTCCAGCAAGAAATTAAAAAGCAATGTGACCCTTACTGAGGGCGCAGGCACCCCCCGCAATGCAAACACCCTCTCCCAGGAAAGCCGTGTCCCCACCGACATGGGGCTGGCTGGGCTGGCAGGAACCACAGTGACTGGAGCCACCGGGGGGGCTGAGGGGCCATAAATCAGCCCTCTGCCGGCCCTCGCTCTCTCCCAGACCCTTATCAGCGCCACTCAGCATGGTGGGCGCTACAGGAGGGATGTGAACAGGGCCGCCAGCAGAGATAAGGGCCCCACTGGAACAGGCCCCGATCCGCCGGGAGCCTCCAGAGCCTGCAGGCACATGGGCTGGCCGGCGGTGCCCGCCCCGCGCCTCTGGAGCAGCGGGCCTGGCACAGAGATTTCCTCTTCCTCCCCGCTCCCATGCCCGGCTTCCCTTCCTCCCCGCTCCCAGCTCCGGCTTCCCTTCCTCCCCGCTCCCAGCCCCGGCTTCCCTTCCTCCCCGCTCCCAGCCTCGGCTCCCCTTCCTCCCCGCTCCCAGCCCCGGCTTCCCTTCCTCCCCGCTCCCAGCCCCGGCTTCCCTTCCTCCCCGCTCCCAGTCCCGGTCCCCGTCAGCCCTGGGGCTGCAGTCTGAGTGTCTGGCTCTGCCTGCCCCTCAGCAGAGCCGGTGCCTTAACCCGGACAGGCTGTCACTTCCCCCTCCTTGCACCCTCATCCCTTCTCCCCTTTGTCACATGAGAAACAGCTTTAATGAAGAGGCTTAATGAAAAATAAACAAGTTGGGAGCGTTACACTTGGGGAGTGAAATGGCCACAGGCTGACAGTGTGCACCAGTGCCACCGCACCCCTTCCCAGCCTTGGCCTTGGGAGTCACATTGAGTCCCAAAGGAACCTGTCTTGCTGAGGGCTATTCTGGCTGCAAAATTCCTTCCCTCAGCTCRGCACCCAAGGAGTGCCATCACTTTACAAATGAGCATCTGCACCCTCCAGCAATGCTGTGATGGGAGTGGAGGCGCAGCTGAGTGTCTCTCCTATTGCAGGCCTGATTCTTGGCTCAGGCTCCAAAAACTGTGGCACCGTGTGGCAGAGCTGACACCTTGCTGGGCTTTGCAAGAGGCCAAAGAATTTGGACAACATGGGTGCAAGGCAAAGAGGTGCAGGGGCAGAGTTCAGTCAGGGAAATGTCAGGGAAGACAGAGGTCCTCAGCAGGACTGCCAGCAACCAGCAGGGTCTGGAGCAACTTGGGGCCAGGGCCAAGGGACCAGAGGAGGAGGCTTTGGGAGGGAAACGTGCCCTCTGTGTGCTGGGCTCCTGCACCCCCTACTCCCCCAGCACAATGACCTCCAGGGCAGAAATGACAGTCTCCAGCTGTCGGGCCCTCAGGCAGGGGAGGGGGGAAATCCAGTGTGAGGGAGGGCATCCTCCAGCACCAGCATGGAGTGGAGAGGAAAATCGTATGTTTGGTTCCTGCCCTGCCACGGTAGGTGGCTGGGAAGCAGAAGCCAGGACTGATGAGAGGAGGTGAGACCAGGGATGGTCCCTGCAGAGCAGGACAGGGCTCAGTGTACAGGACACAGAGGGAAGTGCCTGGGGAGCACCAGTGATTCACAGCATTGAGGGCAGACACAGATAAATGGTTGAAAGGTCTCTCACCCTGCTAATCCAGCTTCCTTTTGATAGCTTTAAATCCATCACTTAAAAATTCAGAGCTTCTCTGTTGGAGAGCTGGGTGGCCTACAGGATGAATGGAGTTCTTCACCCCTGGGGCAGCAGGGAGACTCCAGAAAACAGGGCCAGGAAGGTGCTGGCATGTTAGCACGTAGCTGGGTTATAATTTACACACATATGCCATATGCTTACTCCCATTAGCATCTTGGCTTGGAAGACACCCAGTTTCCTTTCACCCCTGGAGGAGCTGACCTCATACATAAGAAAGCACTCAGAAGCCTCGTGGTTGCCTGCAAAATAGAGGCAGCTACACCTAAACAAAAGCCTTGAACATCAGGCTCAAGTCTTGGACACCAGGCTTGATGGTGTTAGAAAGATGGCACTTTTCATTGTGGGCAATCTCTATCTGGCCAATTTCCCTGAGGGGACACAACACACAAAGACATCCTTGCTGCAATTTTAGCAACCTCAGGTGGCATGCAATAGGGACCATTCACGTTTTCATATATAAAATAACACCTATGAGATATTGCCCACAGGTAGTAAAGATCAATTATCTGGTAGGAAAGAATCTTTAACTTCATGGCTAGTCCACATAAACTGTGGCCTTGGAGGCAGTTAAAATGGGATTGAGACCATGTTTAAGTATGGTTTTATTATTGTCACTAGCACTATTCACAGTGAGTGTGACAAATACTGTCTCTYTCCCGCACTCCTCTAGGAAAGGTGCGACCATTTCAGAAGCTGCAAATAAGTCTCAGAGGTGGGTGAGGTCCTCAAGGGTCAAACCAGCAGTCCCAGCTGCACAGTAGGGCTTTGCCTCTTTGTGGACTTCTATCCAAGAAGCTTACCCACACTTCCACCATTCTGGAAGGCCACAGTCCCACACTATCCCCTCCTGTCTTTTTGCACTGTGTTTCTACCATCCCCACTTAATCAGTGCTGTAAAACCAGCTCCCTGATCCCTGTGGACAGGCCCAGGGTTCCAGGTGGAGAGCTGGGGGTAGGAGGGTTGCTGAGTCTGCGTATTCTTCCAGATCTCCCCCCTGCACACTCCTCCACGCAGAAATATCCCTGCTCCTATCAGCGGTTTTGGAGCTGACGTCCTTTGTGACGCAGGTAACATCCTGCAGGGGTAATGAGGAATGACCTCCCCACACTGGGCTCCCGGTCCCTGACTGCCCCAACTGGGGAGGCCTCACGCTTGTCTCATTGCTGGTGCTCATGGAGTGCTCCTGGGTCACACTGGCTCATTGAAGGCCAGTGCAGGTGACAAAGTGGAACAGTGCAGATTTAGACCCACCCAAAAAGCTGCCCTTTGAAATTCTGCTCCCCTGTTCCTGGCAGCTAGCATTTTCCTTCCTTCCTTCAGGCTGTTAAAAGGCCATGCTGTCAAAAGTCCTTGCATGCCCTCTTAACTAGCATTTCCAAGCACTGAAACCAGTACTGCAAATGTTGTAAGTGCTGGAGCTTAAGCCCACAGTCCCCGACTGGCGCCTCCATCGTGTTGTCACAAAGAGGACTTGGATTGCATACARGAGCAGTGGACTGTATGCAGTATCCAGGAAAGGAATGGCCTCAAAGGCAGCCTCACCATCACGCCAACATGTACCTACTGTGGAAAGATGTTGCCAGAGACCCCATCTCATTCCCTGCTCCAATTTTACCACATGGGAACCTTTGCAGTAGAAAGAAACCAGGCACTGTAGGACAAGAGCAAAGGGAGTTCACATCTGAATGCCTAAAGAAAGGTGGTGCCTGCTGTCATGCCTTGGTGCTTAGGGTCAAAGCTCTCTGACTAGTTAGGTGTTAAATTCCCTCATCAGCCCCAAGCTACTGCCTCAGGTCAAAAGCAACCTCCACCACATGAGAGAAGCAGGTTCAGCTGCTCTTTAACTGCCTTCCTTTCTTACTTCCTTCCTGAGCTCCTGAGTTCCTTCCTGAGTTCCTTCCTGAGCTCCTTCCTGAGTTCTGAGTTCCTTCTTTCCTGAATTCATTCCTTCCTGAGTTCCTTCCTTCCTTCCACATCATCCCCACTCTTGTCCCTAGAGGTCTTCCCTGTCATGCATTAGCAGCTGCAGGAGGGGAAGAGCAGAGAAAGGCATATGAGGGAGGGCTCTGCTTATCTCTCCCTGAGGGAATTTCTCACCTCCACTCTGTTCTGCTCAGCTGCCTGGGAGGCAGCCCTGTCGCCAGAGACAGCGTCTGGCCGGCTGTGTTGACAAAGTCACAAGAGATGTGGAGTGCACATGGAGATCAAGGCAGGGCTGACACAGGCTTTAAGCTCATTCCCACTGCTCTGCTCATCAGAGAAAGCAGGCGGGGGTGGAAAAGGGACTTTGTCTTCTGTACTGTGCCGAGACCCAGAAGGAAACCTGGGCTCCTCTGTTTCCCTCACCCAGCTGGTCTC